TTTCTCCTTCATTGTCAAGGAATAGTTTTGCTGATTATAGAATCTTTGATTGGAAGTTTTGTTTTTTTCTTCCCAGCAATCAGAATATGTCATTCCACTGCCTTCTGGTCTCCATGGTTTCTGATAAGTCATCTGTTAATCTTTTTGAGGATTCCTTGTATATGATATGTAACTTTGTCATTTTTCTCTTGCTCCTCTCAAAATTCTGTCTTTGGCTTTCAACAACTATGAAGTGTCTTGGTGTGTATCTCTTTGCATTTATCCTACTTAGAGTTTGTTGAACTTCTTCTTTGTGTACATTAATGTTTTCCATCAAATTTGGGATGTTTTTATCCCTTATGTCTTCACATATTCTCTCTACCCCTTTCTCTTTCTCCTTGCCTTCTGGGATCCCGATTATGCATATGTTGAGATGTTTGTTGGTATCCCACAGGCTCTGAACTATATTTAGTTTTCTTCGACCTATTTTCTTTTTGTTCATCAAATTGCACAATATCAATTGACATGTATTCAGGTTCACTGATTTTTTTAATTCTGCCAGTTCAAATCTGCTGCTGGATTCTTCTAGTAAATTTTTAATTTCCATTATTTTATTTTTCAATTTCAGAATTTCTACTTGGGTTTTTTCCTAAAATCTCTATCTCTTTATTGATATTCTCTATTAGGTGAGACACTGTTCTCATGCATTCCTTTAGTTCTTCAAACACAGCTTCCTTTATTTCTTTGAACATATTTAAAATGGCTGATTTAAAGATTTTATCTAGTAAATCCAATGCCTTGACTTCCTCAAGAACAGTTTATTTTCTGTGTATGTGCCATATGTTTTATATTCTTTACATGTCTCTTAATTTTTTATTGAAACTGGATATTTTATATAATATAATGTGACAACTCTGAAAATCAGAACTCCTTCTCCCAGGTTTGTTTGTTTAGTGATTTACCTGGACTAATTCTCTAAACTATATCCTTTTTCATGTGTGTACAATGAAGTGTCAGCCTTATTAGCTGGGTGGTCAAGTAATTATTGGACAAATGTTTCCTTAACACATTGACTACCACACTAGAAAAAATTTTTTCCTTGGGGCCACAGTGTTTTATTACAAAAATAGAAAAAAAACTTCAAAAACAATATAATCCTTTCTAATTTAATGAAAAATGGATTTTTTTAAATTGTTTTCTGTGTATGAGTTATATGCAACTTGAAATATAGTTCTCACAGCTCCCAAGGTGAAGATATGTGTGACTTACATATGCTTCACCGGGCCCTGGACTCAAAACTAGCATGAGTTAAATATGATTCACATGGCAGTTAATGTGTTAAATGTGTTGAACAAGTAAGTCTCCAACTTTTACAAAAGTGCTCTATGCATGTGTTGGAGCACATCTTCAATGCTCAAGCAGTCAGTTTACAAGTCTGTCTTAACCCTTACTTCCTGCTTGTGTAGAGCTTGAAGATCACCTCAAGGTAAGAGCTCGTACATTCTTAAGTCTGTTTTGTGCAGTGATGGATTACCAATTCTAAAACTACCTTCAGTGTATGACAGATTAAGCAAATAAGTACATGACTGAGGATAATGGCAGCTAGGCTTTTCACTGTGGAAAAGGTGAGCTCAAATATGGAAAGGAAAAGACTGGAATAAACCTGTGGTATTAGACTGAAATTGGAGGTATCGTTATAAACTCAAAGTTTTTAATAGGCAGACAGATAAGAAATAAGTATAGATTTCTAACTCTGTCCATTGAGATAACCTAGAAGCAATGACACCTCAGTAGCAATGCATGTACCTGATATAAAGATCTCCTTTTGAAAAACAATTTTCTACTATTGAAATTGGCTCTTTAAAAATCTGATTTCAAAGCTAGAGCAGGGAAAAGAACAAGATGAACTTGGAATTTCTTATTACACCAGAAAATTATGCTCAAAGAATAACAGGAACATGTTGAAAGGACACAAGAAATGGCTCGAGGGGCTCCCAATGGTCAAATCTGGGATCACTGAAGCCTCAAAATAAATAATAAGAGTAACAAATTATAACACTTGGAGTAAAATATGCATTCATAAATCTATATTGCTATAAACACAAATGGGAAAGAAGACAAAGCTCTTTCTTAAAGTGCCAACAAATAAATGCTTTTTTAAAAAGACAGTTAAAAAATCACCATTTCATAAATATCACAGTAAAACTGAGTCAGGCATCATCAATGGATGTTAAAACTAATAGGTGAGAATTTGATGAGGAATAGGATATCTATTTAGTCTTAAGGTAACTCTCCAAAAATATTGAATTTATAGGAGATAAAACTAGAGGATACCACCTCAAGTTAACATCAATTATGAGATAAATAAACATCTTGTTCCTCTTTATGTGATGCATTAAGAACCCATCTCTTCTGTAGTAGTCCCATCAAAATATATAACCTTAATTTATTTCATAAGAAAACATATACAAACCCGTAATTGAGGCATATTCTACAAAATAACTAACCTATACTGTCCCAAAAAGTAAAGATTATTAAACATAATGAAAGACTACAGAATTAGTCCAAATTAAAGGAACCTAAAGAGACATGACAACTAAATGCATCATGTAATATCAGATGGGACTCTGAACCAAAAATTTTTTCTCTATAAAGGATATAATTGAGATAATTAGCAATATTTTTTAAAGATCTATAGATTAGATAATAATACTATATAAATGAAATATCCTAATGTTGATAATTGCATTGTGGATATAAAAGAGAATGCCTTGTTCTTAGGATACTAACATTCAATTATTTAGGAGTAAATAGGCTTTATGTCAAAAATGTACTGTTAAATGACTTATTAAAAAAAATAATATAAATATATGGGGAGAAAAAAAATGAGAAAGCAAATGTGATAACATGTTAACAACTGCAGGATCTGGACAGCGGGTACATAAAGATTATTATTATTATTGCAACTTTTTTCCATAAGTCTGTAACTATTTCAAATTTTTTTTCTTTGCCTGCTTCCTTTTTCCTCCATAAAAGCTATGATTTTCAAGCTTTTTTTTTAATTTTGGTTTTGGGGGTTTTTTGTTTGTTTGAGAAAGGCTCCTGCTCTGTCACCCGGGCTAGAGTCCAGTGGGTATCACCATAGTTCACGGCAACCTCAAATTGCTGCATGTAAATGATCCTCCTACCTCAGCGCCCCCAGTAGCTGGGACTACAGGTGCACACCACCATGCCCAGCTAATATTTTTTCTGTTTTTTGTAGAGACAGGGTCTTGCTCTTGCTCAGGTTGGTCTTAAACTCATGGCCTCAAGCAATCCTGCTACCTTGGCCTCCCAAAGTGCTAGGATTAAAGGCATGAGCCACCATGCCCAGCCTATTTTAACATTTTAAATTTTCTTTTTAAAAAGAAATTTATCTAATGGGAACGATAAATAAATTAGATCTAACATATCTAAATGGTCAAGAGGCCAGCTGTGGTGGCTCACACTTGGGAGGAGGAGGTGAGAAGATTGCTTGAGGCCAAGAGTTCAAGACCAGCCTGAGCAACATAGCAAGGCCCCATCTCTACAAATAATAAGAAAAATTAGCCAGGCATAGGGGCATGTGCCTGTAGTCTTAGCTGAGGTGGGAGAATCTCTTGAGGCCAGGAGCTCAACATGATCTATGATCACACCACTGTCCTCTAGCCTGATTAAATATGAAAAATACAACATTAAGTAAAAAAGCTAGCAACATACATACTGTATAATATTTACTTAAATTTTTAAAATCATAAAAATATATATTATTAGTGTACAAGTATGTAATAAAGGTTTAATGTTTATTTTGACAAAAGGAAATGGATGTAAAGAGGGGAATGGGGTAAAAACTGTAATAACATATCTTTTAAAATACAGCTAATTCAAGTATGACAAAATTTTAACATGTGTTATATCTGGGTGATGGATACATGAATATCTACTATTATTTTCATACTACCTATGTGTTTGATATATTATATAAATTATAATTAAAATATTTTGAGAAAAAGGTATTAACAATTCAAAGGATTTAAGACCCTCAGAACTTCCCAGTATACATATTGCCACAAACCAAATGCTTTTTGAAGGTGTATAAGGCTAAGCTCAAAGATGGAGATAAATACAAACAAATAACTGTAGAATATTGGGAATAACGGGTCAAGCCAAATACTGAGAATACCTTTTCTTTGCCCAGCATGTCTCTTCGTCCTTTCCTTAAATCCATGCTTAATTTTTGCCTTTTCCTCACTAGGTTTACCTCTTCCAGATCTCATAAAAGTTTAAACATACAACAGATTCAAAGTACTATGTCCTTCTGGCTTGTAAGTGAATAAAGCCAGACATACCATCTATATTCATTATCTGTATTCATGGATAACTCACATATTTCAACTGGCTGAATGAAATCTTGACTCAACTATGGCCAGGTTTGAAATTTGAACTCCAGATGAGATGGATTGGCTATATTACGTTTGATATTTCAATCAAAGAGAAACCCTTTTGTTTTACAATCATGGAATACATATTTTTTCTTTCAAATTCAGAAAAAGAATATCTATGTATTACATATGATTATACATTGTGGCACAGACTTCTAGTCATTTACACCTATTTCTTCTTTCTAGATAGACAGACTCTATTTCTCAGCCTCCCTGGTAGTTAAGAATGACCAGGTGACTGAGCTTTAGCTCCAGGCCTGGCTTACAGCAACTCTCTACTCATAATCCTCCATCCTCTTCTGCCACTGGATGCAGATGACAACAAGGCCATAGGGGATGATAAAGACACAAATGGAATAAGCCTGCGTCCCTAAATCTCTACAAGGAGGAATGTCATTTATCCAGAAGAAATGCTCACATAAATGAGAGGGAAAAATTCTATTGTATTAAGTCTCTGAAATTTGGGGGTCTATTTGTTACTGCAGTTAGTATTACATTAACTAAAACATGTACAATCATTAACAATCTTCCAATTGTCGATATGAAATGCATTATACTTACAAATTGAGGTTTGTAATAGGCTGGACCTAGTGTACTATCACTAACAGGTAGAAAACATTTTGTAATACTGTCATCCTCATGAATATGATAACCACATGTCTTCGCACAAGAAGGAATTGAAGGAATATCAAGACTTCTGGCAATTATAGGTGCTTTTGAAATTTTCTGTAAGGAAAACATTTTATATTATTTACTCAAGGCAAAAGAAGAGGAAATGAAGAACCAAATATTAAAATTTACTAAAAGGCAACTATTAAATATTGACTTAACAAGTTTTATAATATAAACCAAAAATGTTTGTTTTATAAAAGGAGTGAATTCAATTCTCATTTCATCTTATAAACCAAGAGAATATATACCATTACTATTAAAGCCACTATAAGAAGCAAGGATTCTCTCTCATTTGGGTTTGTTATTTATCTTGCTTAGTAAAGCCATATTATTACTGATTCTGAAAACAGGCAATACAATGGCCATATCAACAATCATACTATTATAGTTCTGCCATGCAAAAACAAACTTTATATTTTTCAGTAACATTTCCTGGCTTCATTTTTTTGCAGCTCCTGACCTGTTTCCATATTATCATGTATAAATATCTAATTACAGACTTTGTAGCAGGAAAATGTCTATGATGTAATGCTAAATGGAAATAGCAAAATATAAAATTGAATTATGAATATAGCTATGTGAGCTATGGGAAGTTATATATAAATGTATAAAATCATAGACATATGATTTAATACTAAAAGAACTATGCAAAAATTAACAGAATATTAATGTTAAGAGTTCGAAGTTTTAGGATGATTATCCTTTTTTCAAAGTTTGCTTAATGTAAAATTTTTTATAATTTAAATAAAAACACAAAGGAGTAAACATATTAGAAACACTAACATAACACCTATCAAATGGACCAGGTACGGTGGCTCACACTTATAATCCTAGTATTTTGGGAGGCCAAGGCAGGAGGATGGCTTGAGGCAAGGAATTTGAGACTAGCCTGGGCAACATAACAAGATCCAAGTTAAAATAATCTACAAACAATTTTTAAAAAATTAGCTGGGTGTGGTGGCACATGCCTGTAGTCCTAGCTAGTAGGGAGGCTGAGGCAGAAGGATCACTTGAGCCCAGGAGTTTGAGGTTACAGTGAGCTACTGTACTCTAGACCAGGCAATAAAGCAAGATCCTGTTTCGAAAGGAAAACAAACAAACAAACAAAAAAATAAAATAAAATAAAATATTGGCATTTAAAAGATTTAGTTATCTGGAAAATTATGTTATAAACATACTACTGCTGGTAGAATTTTATTTTTTATCACTTAAAGACAGTAGTTCCAGTGATGCTTAGGACATTAATTACCAAATTAAAACAGGAAAGCATTGAATGGCTTCTTTTCCATTCAATACTTTAAAAAGTATTTGCATACTGTCAAGACTTTCAAAAATATAGCCCCTACCTCCTTCTTCAGCTTCTATCCTTAATACTCTGCCTTTGTAGATTCTGTACTCCAAATATCCCAAAGAACTTTGTTCTTCCCTAAACATACCATGTTACTAAATACCTCAATGTCTTTACTTATGTGGTTTTCTCTGCCTGGAATGTTTTTTCCCCTTCTTTTTAACTATTTAGTGAATTCTTCTTCAAGATTAAGTTTAACATTTTCCCTAGTCCCTCCAAAGACTCTCTACTGGGCTACTAGTGAACATTGTATTATGAATCTAATATATCATTTCATGAACTATATTGTACTGAATTTCATTCATTACCTCCCTATTAAAATTATAGAACTCAGGAAGCTGTGATTTGTTTGCTATGTATTACCAGGATCTAGCATCATGCATGGCACACATAGTCACTCAGTAAGTGATAAACCCTTGCATGATTAAATGAACATTTATTTTGTTCTCACACATGAAATATCAGATATTTAAATATACTTGTAAGACTTAACCCCATTGTCATTGCATTGACATTATTCAGTTGAGTACTTTGCCCTAAATTATGTCCTACTAAACAAAAAAACTGATTAAAATGTAATTAATAAGAGCTATGTGAAGACATTATGGCAAGAGAAGAAGGGATACTCTAAATAAACAATGACCAAAGTCCACTAGATGATAATATTTATTTCAAAGGAGTAGGCATTTGGTGTAAACATTATTAATTACATAACACCAATGTACCTTTCCAAACACATCATCTAATAGTCTTCTACATAAATTCTTCACTCTAGTTAAAATAATCTTATCATTGCCTTCTATAAAATCCGACTTCTGTATCTCCATTCATATAACACTCCATGATTGGAATGCATATTCCAATCCTATTTTTCAAAGCCTATCTCAAGACCAACCTTCTCTATAAATCCTCTATATATTATACCTTTGCATAATATAGAAGTCCTCTTTTAAATTCCTATGGCATTTAATTACATGATCATTCATTTAGCACCTGTTACAGTTTGTCTTGCATTCGTAGCTACCTATATGTCTCTCTCCCATCTAAATTTTAAGCTGTTTAATTTCAGGAATCATGTTTTTAATTTCATTGTATTATTAATAGTACTTAACACAGTCTTCTCTCTACATAGGTAAACCACTCAGGTGGTTTTATAATTTTCCTTACTTCCTATTCACTATAGACATTGGACATTACAGATTTATTAAAAGCAAAAATGAAGTTAGATGCTAACACAGTTAAAAACTAAAGTTTATTTAATTATAACCTAGCTACAATATAGATACCAACAAATCTACATTTATAGTAAAGCTTTTTAAATGTACTTATCACATAAAATACTAAACTTTTTCTATTTCTGTTTCTTTTCCTATTTTAACTAAAAGAAATATTATTAGAAGGATAATATAAAATAGCCACGTACTGATTTAAGATGCTTTTTGGCCTCTAGTACTTTTCTGTTCATGATATCTATTGTTCTAGCATAAGATTGATCATAGCTTGCTGGTCCTGGATTATTTGACATAAACTTCTTAAAACGTTTCTCCCGGTTTTGTAGACTATGGCCTCCTTTTATATTATACTAAGTTAAAGAGAAAAAAACTTATGAAACAATTAAAAGAGGGACTTTATAATTGATTTCTATTCAATAATATTAATTATAACGAACAAATAAGTTTTGAAACCCAACCTGAGAAAGTTAAGACCCTTGATTGAAGACATAGTTCTAGTGAAAGAGGATAATAAGAGAGGATGATAATTATAGTTGTCGGTTTTAACTCTGAACCCAAACTAAAATTTACTGTACTTAGAATGGTTTTAACTTTGAACCCAAACTAAAATTTACTGTACTTAGAACACTGTAAGAGAATGCAAGAAAACTCAGTTTTAAAACAGGAATTCCCAAAGCTGTAGAACAAGAGTAAAGAATATGTTTTTCAGGCCCCTGGAAAATCTGTATTCCTGAAATAAACTTTAAAAAATGCTGGCATACACAATGCACGGAAAAAGCAAATCTTCCAAGCTGGTTTGGGATAAATTATTTTCACAGATAACATTTTGGTTATTTCCAGAGAAGTTTACATAGGCTATTGGCAACAGCTTGGTTTTATGTGCAGATTAATTTTATACATTGTTTATTGCAGAGAAAACACTGGGAAGAATCATCCATAGCTCTCCATGCCACATGTCAGGATTCTCCAGAATCAGAAAATTATCAATTAATAGCCAGTTAATTCAGCTACAATTCCATAATACACATTCTTATAAACAAGTATAAGGCAATCATTTCAAAAGTTAATCATAATAATAGTAGTTGGTAGTTGATTAATCAGCTAAGATTTCTTTCAAAAGTAATTTATTTACCAACAGCCCTTTCCACCTGTCAATTTAACAGAGCCTATTTCTATTGTGCATCTTCAGTTTCATTCGGCTTTTAAGAAATACACAAAGGAAGTCTTCTTTTTCAATTTTATTTTTAGATAACCAATTCACTACTTGATTACTATTTTAATAAGCTCAGAATTCCTATGTTTAAAGACTTTGGATCTATAAAAATATACTTTACTGATTTATTTTGCAAAAATATTAAAAAATTGAACAAAAATAAAATTATGTGAAAAGAGAAGACCTTTTCCAATTTTCATAGAGCCATCACTGTATGCTCTATGATCATATGAATCAAACTGCAATTTGAATTTATAATGAAGACTATCTGGGCCTCCAACAGAGGAGTAAAAGGTCTGCTAGGAGCCAATATGTATGAATGCAAAATTTGTGTGAAAATCATGAAAAATGATATTCAAAACTATGAAGATATTGGAGTTCTATCCACTATTTGTAAACATGAATGGACCATTGGAGATATTCTGGTCACAGACTCTTAAGACTGTGCAGAAACAAGACATAGACGGCCAGGCGTGGTGGCTCACGCCTGTAATCCTAGCACTCTGGGAGGCTGAGGCAGGCGGATTGCTCGAGGTCAGGTGTTTGAAACCAGCCTAAGCAAGAGCGAGACCCTGTCTCTACTATAAATAGAAAGAAATTAATTGGCCAACTAATACATATAGAAAAAAATTAGCTGGGCATGGTGGTGCATGCCTGTAGTCCCAGCTACTCGGGAGGCTGAGGCAGGAGGATTCCTTGAGCCCAGGAGTCTGAGGTTGCTGTGAGCTAGGCTGATGCTGATGCTGATGGTTTGTATTTTATATACAGATAATGAAAATACCTACTCATACAACCAACATCAAATACGCTTGCTTTCTATTATTCAAATTAAAAAATACAGATTGAAAAGCAAAGGAAGATAATATGAGGAGAAAAATATGACAAATGCCATTTTAGTCTATACAGGAAGAAAAGATGATTTTTATTAACTCACATATTTATAATATCTTTACAAATTTACCTGTTGTGCTTTTGAAACATTATAGTGTCCTGGACCTGGAACAGCTTTATCAATGTTAGAGGCAACAGCACCAGCACCTTCTCTGGTAGTCAAAGAAAGAAATGGTGCATAACTACCTACAAAAATAAAATCGTATCACTGGCAGATAAGAAGGATTCTAAGGATTTCAGAGAAAAACACACTCAAAATATATATAATCATGTAGTACTCTCAATTGTTGAAACTGTATTTTCAGAACTAAGGGCTACCCATAGAAGTTATTATATTTCTCAAAATCTGATATAAGATCAGAACTTTTAT